CAATGGTGATAAAATTATAATTTTGTGTATGCTCAAATGTATTCTGATTAATCTTACTCAAGTCATCTTCAATCATATTAAAAGGTCTATCACTTCTTCTAGGAATTTGAACAAGTCCTTTATTCCCTATGGAAGAGTCTTGTCAGAAGTCCTTATCCAAGCTAAAATTGTAAGAATTATTCGTTGGCTCCATGTTGGTCCTTCTGATTCCTTGAAACAAGAGGAGTGTGAAAATTTTGATGATCAATGGTTCCAATCAATTTAAATCATGTTGTGTCTGTCTGATGCTTTTCTTTCTAAATATTGTCTTTTAAATATTGTATATTTTTATTTTTAATATTGTACTTTGTATGTTTATGAATTCAAGTTTAAATGTTATGTTGTCTTTTGATTCTTGTTTGCGCATTAAATTTATGCATGGTTAAATTTTCTTTTCAAAAATATTTTGATAATGTTACCTTTTTGATTATGACAAAAAGGGGGAGAAAGAGTAATGATTTTTATATGAACATTTCTAAAGAAACATTGCATTCACTCTGATACTTAAGTTCTGATAAAGAACAATAGTTGTTTCTAATGCTCTAAAATCATGATAATCTGATAAGTTTAAAGGTTAAATCAATAATGATATATCAGATTCAGAGAGGATAACAATGCTCTCAAAACTCTTAAAGATCATAAATTTGTGATTTAGAGGGATATTGTTTATCTCAGGGGGAGTTTCTAAATCAGGGGGAGTTTTCTAAACTCTTACTTTGTTTATGATTTAACCCTGTAAAATTGTTCCATCAAAATATATGATTTTTTCATCATCAAAAAGGGGGAGTTTGTAAGAACAAGATTTGTATCCGTGTTTAATCTGTATGTTTTGATGATAACAATCATATATTTTATGCAGAACACTTTTAGTTCTAATGGTTTCATTAAGTGTGAAGATACATTGTTAGTATTCTGGATAGTCTTAATCAAGATATCATCAGAATCACATTACCACTCAGAAGAAGAACCAATGGGTTTAGTTTCTAATGTAACATCAATAGTTCTATGGAATGCTGAATGTTCGACAAGAAAAGAATCTCAATAAGTCTCCCAGAAGAAAGAATGTCTGATAAGCAGTTGCTTCAAGATCAGAAATCAAGAGGAGACAAGAAACAAGCTTACAACGCAGAAGATCAGAAGTCAATACTAGTTCATTAGAAGAGTTGTTGCTTATGATTCTAAAGACAAAGTCAAGATTCTGAACACATAAAGAGAAAGCTTCTTTTCCAAGATCATAAGTCAAGATTTGTTCATCAGAAGAGTTGATGCTCATGATTCTGAAGACAAAGTCAAGATTCTGATGACTCGGAGAAGCTCATGGAATATGCACCTTCATTCAACATTAGGAGTATTCCATCAGAAGAAATGATTAAAGAAAGAATATATTGTGGACTCATTTCTAATCAACATCTTAAAGTCCATCAAAAGACAATATAAAAGGATGATATCTTCTCAAGCTAATCTACTAAACAGAAGTAATATCCACAAGAAGACAAATATCATCAGAAGAACCATTGCACTCAAAAAAAGAACTATTGAGACCATTTCTATAGAAACATCAGCAATTCTACGAAATGATGAATGTTAATCAGAAAGGGAATCGAGTATGTTCTAAGGAAAGCGTTGCTCTCAGATAAGGAAACATATATGCTTCTAACCAAAGAAAGAAGGAATTCATGATCATACAACAAAGGTGTAGCTGACGATAAGCTGTTGCTTTCAGCTCAATCCAAAGATCGAAATTCAAGGGATCAGAAAGAAGGAATTCAACATCAAATCAGATGTACTGATATAAGTTGTTGCTTCAGAAATTAGACATTATATATGCATCTTAGAAAAGCTGATAATCAAAGAATCAAGACAAGATCAAGTTAATAAGTAGATCATAAGAGCTTTCACTCCAAGAAGAAATTGTTCATCAGATAAGTTGTTGCTTATATATCTGAAGACAATGTTCAAACATCTAAAATATTATGACTCTACAACAAAGAAGAATCTTCTGGATCAATATCACTCCTTAACTAGAAACAATCCAACAAGAAGAAAAGAATCAAAGCTCAAGAATTCAAAGACTTGAGAATCAGATAGGCTATTGTCACAATATCTGATTTCAAGATCCTCATCAGAAAAGCTTTTGATGTCTTCATCAGAAAAGCTTTCGCGTACAATGTCAAAGACTTGTTACTTCAGATAGGTTGTTGTCGATCATTATGGAAACAAGAATCCACTATGGAAAGAATCTGAAATGAAACATCCTCTCAACACAGTCTTCATCTCTCAAATAAATAAATAAATAAATATGCCTTTAAGAGTAGTTCTAGATAAGAAGAAAATCTTCGTGTTTTAGATAGGCAGCTGCCCATAATTCCGAAGATAATATTTGGTTATAACCACTCGGGTGTTCCTGTGCTACAACAATAAAGTAGTTTATGAACTACTCATCTGTCAGTAATCAGAAGAACGAAGAAAAGTGATTGATCCCTTTCAAGCTTAAAATTTAGAATCAGAAGTACATCATCAGAAGATAAAGATCAAGAAACTTAGTCAAGATGAAAATAATACATTAGCTGTACTATTCAAAGAAGTTGTTCTCCCACTGTCGTACGCCAATCACTGCAAGTAGCAGGTGTAGGAAAGTGACGTTTCGTAATGTTCCAAACCTCTCTTGAATATATTTGTTGGAAATCAAATGTTGTAAGGAGAAAATACTTCACTATTCTTACATCGACTCTTTTCATGTGAAGGCTATATAAGAAGACTAAAGCTTCAAATTCAAAGTGATGCAGATATTGGCAAAGAAGACCATATATAAGTCCAAACAACGTTGGTGTTCTTAATAGCAAATATTTACAATATTGAAGAGATGAAATAAAAAGCAAGGAGATGTTGCTCATATCTTGCTTAATGAAGAAAAAAAATGAAGAAGAAGAATTCTACAAGATGATACTCAAACTTCCATCATATACATCTGGGCAGAATTATGAAGAAGCAAGGAGTTGTTGCTCATAGCTTGCTCAACAAAGAAGATGAAGACAAGAAGACTACAAGATACTTCACTCAAATTAGATTATATTCATTGTTGTAGAAACAATGTAAAACACAAGAGTTGTTGCTCAAATTGTGTTATTTCTTAAAAATCTTCATGTAAATTGTTTGTACACAAGAGTTGTTGCTCATAATTGTGTAAAACAATATGTACTTAAATTAGGAGTAATCTTCTTGATAAGAAGCACTCATGTAATTTCCAAAAAAACAATTTTGTTAAGAATTGGTGGTTCCTCAAGTGATTGAGTGAAGATCATAAGACTTGAGAAGACGAGTGGCTGCGGTCATCGTAGATGAAATCCTATTATAAGGGACCAGTTTGGTCTGAAATCTTATGGGATCAATGATCGCTATATATCTCTCGGGGGACCATGAAGGTCATAATTCTTAAGAGATCATTGAATGATGGTCATTGTGAGAAATTCCTCATAGAAAGATCAAGTTGATCAAATTTTTGATAGGGGTCAATGATCGTTATATCTCGTTGAGATCACTGAACGTATCATTGTGATATTTCTTGAGAGACTTAGTTGAGTCAGGATTCTCAAGAAGGCTAGACTGCAGTTTTAGCAGAAAAGACAATAAGGATCAGTTGAACTTGTTAAGAGTATCAACAAGGTTAGTCTGAGTTATTGTAGATTGTAATCATGATTTGGTTATAGTGAATTAAATTCTCACTGAAGGCAAAATCACCTGAGGAGGATGGACAACAATAGCCTAGTCGGTGAACCTGGATAATTGAATGTGTCTCTTTATATTTTATTGCATTCTATATTCTTTCATAGTTCAATCAATTTTTTCCTAAAGGAGAGTATTTTCTTAAAACCCAATTCAAACTCCCCATTCCTTGTGTTTTTCTCTACCTTCACCTATATTTTCTCTGAAGTTTGATACTACCTCTGTCCCTAATTATAAGACCCTCTTGAGTTTTTTTCTTGTCCCTTTTTATAAGACACTCTTTAACTTTCAAAGTACATTAATTATTTTTTTCCAAACATATCCCTAATTATATTACATCTTTTATGCAATTAGTAATAAATACACTTGTATAAACATAAACTATTTCTTTCTAGGATAAACTTGTTAAATTTTATAAATAATCAATAAATTTAATACTCTAACCAACTTTTTTAATTAACGTAATTTAGTCTACGAAGTCTTATATTTAAGGACGGAGATAATATATTATATAATTCAAAATATATTTTACAATTATATTAGTTCACAAATATTAACAAATTTAAATATTTGGGTTTTCTCAACAATTTTCAATTTAAAAAAAACTTTGTATATCAATTTTAGTGAATTAGTCTCTCCATTTCAAAATGATTGTCATTTTAATAAATAAATTTTATTTTAAATTAATTGTCATTTCTACTTTTCAATACAGTAATAATTATTATTTTTTCAATCGTACTCTTTATTTTTTACTTTCTACACTATTTTTAATATATTAATAAGATTAATTTTATAAAAGTAAAATATTTTATGGCAATATAATTGTATTTCTTAATTTACGTGCTAATCATATTTTTTTTTTATATAAAAAACTAGAATAATGTAGGAGTTGTGTCCCTCGAACTATTTTCTTACCAACAATAGAATAAAAAAACAGAAAAATAAATAAATCAAATAGCGTTTGCGTAAAGAAGCATCCATTTCTGAAAAGGTAATTCGGTGGTTGGAGCCTGAAAGTCCGTGGCAAACTACACAATCAATTCCAAACAAGAATCACTTATTTGAAATCACTTCTTTGAATTAGACTTTTGTTTTTAATAATCGCTTTTTTCTCGCGATTGACAGCAGAAAACAACAGTGGCAGTGTTTTGTGTGGGATTCTGAAATCAAAGCGACGTCGTATTATGATTGAAGCTCAACTACTATTGAATCTCTGAATCTGATTCGTTTTTCTTACAATGGCGTCGTGGCTCAAAGCCGCTGAAGGTAACGAACGGATCTCGTTTCTTTGATTCGTTTATTCCACCTAATTCAATCTCGATTCGCTTAATTTTAATGGCTTATATTAGAGTGTTTCGATTTAGTAGTAGTTGTGGTATGGCATGTTGTTAATCTTGATCTCGATACTTGATTCATCATGAAATTGTTGATTAATGCTTAATGTAGTGTAAATGAGGATTGGTTTTGGTAATGGTTTGTGATTCTGTTGTATTGGAAATTAAGGAATGAAATGGATCATTGAAACGGTTAAGGTGAATTTTAGTTGCGGAAATGGACTCTTTGTAGTGAAAATTTCATATAGTACTAGCTATGGCTAGTTGATTAGAATCATGTTGGATGAAGGATCAAATGACTTGTATTTCGAGTTTCTTTTTAAATCTGATTTTGTGGAGCTTAAAGTATGATTGCTAAGGTCAATTAGTCAGAATTGCATTGTATGAAGGATCAAACGGCTTGTACTCCGAATTGATTCTTCAATATAATTTTGTTGCGCTTAGAATCTGATCTTCACCCAATGCCTCCGACTTATTGACTGTGGCAAATGTGTGGCAATCTGGATCCCTCTCTCTTTTATTCATGTTTCATCAATATCAAGTCCAAGGAGCGTGGATTAGTTTTAATTGTGCATGGTGCGTTTTATCACTATGGTCAATTAAGAAGAACCAAGTTGGGTGAAGGAACAAACGACTTGTTTTCATAATTTCTGTTTAAATCTGATTTTGATCAGCTTAAAATATGATTAGCCTGAACTTCATCCAATGCTTCCAACTCATTGACTGTGGCAAATGCATGCTATTGTGAGTTGTGACTATAGGCAATCTGTATCTCTTTCATTCATGCTTCATCAGTTTCTAGTCTAGTCTCTAAGGAGCTTTAATTAATTTTAGGCCACGTTTACTTTCTGGAAATATTTACACTTTTCATTTTCTAAAATTTATGTCCATTTTAAATTGCTAACACGGAGATTGAAGACTTATGTAGTTAACAATTGTGATAGAGAGAAATGAAAGACAAGTTTGAAAGATTGCATTTTTCAGAAACCACAAAAACAATGTTTCAGCATTTTCAAAAAGTCTGAAAATGCTAGATCTATTTTTGGAAGTTACAAAAGAAAATGGCAAGGAAACTATTGGATTTATTTTCTTGTATGTTTATTAGTTTAAATGAAAATGAAAACAAGAAATGCATAAAGTAAACAGGCCCTTAGTTTTGCCTATTGTTTTTCTTTTATATTTTGTTGTCTACGGGAAAGGGAGGGGATGGGCACAGGAGTTATGTTACTTAGTGTTGTTTCATTGCATGGTGTGGAATGATGTACTAGATGTTTCTTTCTCCTTCCTTTGTTGCTTAACAAATGACTGATTTTGAGCTCAAAATAAAATCTGACGTGTACTTTTTTGTGACCTTGGTTGATCAGATTTATTTGAAGTTGTTGATCGAAGAGCGAAGCTGGTTGCCAGTGACATTGCAGAAGAACAATCTGATTCCAAGTCTCCAGGTTTAGATTTTAGTTCTTTTGACTTTTTCTTTAGCTCCTTTGTATACTCAATCTGGAATTAGATTTGGGTTCATTGCTGTAAAGTTGTGCTGCCAATATAATTGAAAAGTTAAACTTTTGTAGTGGAAACAACAGGTGATTTGTATCTTATAAAAAGGTGATTTTTAAATTTTGTATGTTTCTTGTGTTCTAGATTTTGATTCTAATATTGAAAGTACTTAAAACCAGAGTAGTTCAGAAAATAAAGCATTAGAGGGGGAAAAGTGATACTAATTCCTACTTTGGAAAAGATTGTAAAGCCTCACTTTGGCATTTCTGACCAAAACCTGTAGATGTTCTAGTAAGGAGGGCAGGCAGATTAGATAAGAACTTGTCTTTCAGATATAAGTTATGTATACTCTCCTAATATTGTGAGGGCTTACATTTGTTCTATTGCTACTTTTTTAGAATTAGCTTCAAATGGGCAAGGATCTCAAGGCAAAAGGAAGAAATTAAAAGCTAAGGTACTGCCGCAGAATTTCTATCCTCAGACAATGTGTCATATTGGCATCCAACTTATCTTCTTGAATTTTGGCAGGCTCAAAAGAGACTGTCCGACCCATCAACTATAGTCAGTGATACTACTAAGGAGAAAACTGGATCTCCAGCAGCAACATTGGATGTAACAACTCCAAGCGAAAAAATTGATCCGGTAGCCAAACATGATGAGAGTGATTCCATTTCTACAAATCAACCAAAGGAGCAGCAACCTACTGATGCAACATCACCCATAATAGGAACTTCGTTGTCAAAAGTGCTAGCTAGTGATACTGAGAAACCTGACACACGTGATGTGGAAGTCTTGGTAAATGATACTGCTGTTGATGTTACTACTACTCCCGCAAGTAAGGAGCCTGGCAAAGAGAATGCTTCAGATATTCATGAAGCGGATCCTTCTTCTTCTCCTAAAGGAATGAAAGGCCCCAATCACGAATCTATGAGTACTGACCAAATTATCAAGGCTGGAGATTTAGACTCCATCCAATATAAGGACCAAGAAAAACCTGAATCTGTGGCTGATGATGTAGCTCCTAATAGTGATACCATCCCTAAAGATTCTGATATAAAAGCTGAGCCTATAGTGAATCAAAAGAGTCAAGAGGATCATAAAACTGACATATCCCCTGAAAAAGTACAGGATCAGCTTGAAGAGGTAATACTTATTATGGAGAAATTCATTTATTATTACTTAATGTAGCATCTTTCAAAAAAAAAAAAATCTTCTGACTAATTTTTTAGTTGGTACATAGGCCCAAGGATTGCTCAAAACAACAAAATCTACTGGTCAGTCTAAAGAGGCAAGGCTAGCTCGGGTAAGAAGAATGTTGTTTAACATGTTATTTTTGTTAGCCAAGGCCTCCTCAAATTGGAGCAGCTGATCACCTCGGAAGATCCTGGAATGTCAAAAAGAGTTTCTTCCTGATTGCACCCACTAGATACATGTTTGATATTTTTTAATAATACTCAGGTCTGTGCTGGACTATCATCTCGCCTTCAAGAATACAAATCCGAAAATGCACAGTTAGAGGAACTTCTTACTGCAGAGGTGAAGTGCTATTGCTGTTTCCTTAAGCGACTAGAAGGTCTCATTATGTGCTTGAAATAAAAACACTCCATGTAATTAATTCTAAATTTACAGAGAGAGCTGAGCAAATCATATGAGGCTAGCATAAAGCAGCTACAAAAGGATTTGTCTGAAAGTAAAAAGGAAGTTACAAGAGTTGAATCAAATATGGGTGAGGCCTTGGCAGCCAAAAATGCTGAAATCGAGGCAGTTCTAAGTTCTGTGGAAGCAGTTAAAAGGCAGGCTGCATTGTCAGAAGGAAATCTAGCTTCCCTGCAGGTTCTTAGTTAATTTATTGAAGCGTGTCTTGCAATATTTTGTTTTCTCCATATAACTACTGTTTCCACCCGAACTATATTCTGTACCATATTTATTAAACATAATGAGTCGCATTAGTGTTGTTATCCAACATTTTTATGCATAATCTTGGATAATTGATATTTGTTTAGAGTCTCACATTGGATGAGATGAGGCTCGACTTAAAGTTTATAATTGGGTGGGGGTCTGCACCTTATCATTAAGCATCCCCATCCTGTTACTGTAGAAATCAGATGAAATATAAATAGACAAAGAATCCCACCAACAAGATTCCGAAATGGTTAAACCATGACATGCCAAGTTTTCAGCACAAGTGTTGCCTTCTCGATAAATGTGGGTGACTTGAAAATTCAATTTCCCCATTTATTTTCTAAGTGCCAAGGAACCAAATTTGGAGACAAAGATTGAACAACTAACATCAGTAACCTATTCAATTTGTTTCATGTATCCTTAAGATAACTGCCACTAATTTCTTCAGAACATAATATGACCAGCTTCGTGCACATGTTATAGCTATGAGCTCAATTGATCCATTTGCAGACGTGTGTCTGTCCGTGTATGGTGTCTGTTAAAGTTTACTCATTTATATGATATTAGGGAACCTTTATTATGGATTGGGAAAATATTTGGCTATTATAAACTTGTTGGGTTCAGTAGTGTGGAAATCTACCAATTTCAGTTTTCTTCATCAATTTCTTTCTATACATGTAGGATTTTTTCGTTGTACCATAGCGCATAGCTTCATTATATTCATGTTCTATTTTATTTATATTTTCAAGGCATGGGTAACACTATTCATATCTTATTAGGCAAACATGGAGTCTATGATGAGAAATCGGGAACTGTCAGAGACAAGGATGATGCAGGTAATCAAGTTCTCCGATGCATGTAAGATTCCATAATTTGTGATGTCCCATTCATATCTGAAGTTGTTGGCATCATAAACTATTGCTCTTGCAGGCTCTAAGAGAGGAGCTAGCATCTGTTGAGCGAAGAGCAGAAGAGGAGCGTGCTGCACATAATGCTACCAAATTGGTCTGTAACTTGTATTGTTTAGTTCTTGTGTATGCATTTTACATTTATTTTTAATGATTATGTGATTCGTAGAGCAGGCTGCTATGGAAAGAGAAGTGGAATTGGAACATAGAGCAGTTGAGTCATCTACAGCCCTTGCGAGGATACAGGTGACGTCAGCTACTTACTAATGCTAAACTTTTATAGATTAATGTTCATGTGGGTCCCACCAAATTTATATGGAATCCACATGATTTGGTGGGGACTCATGAATTTTAACCAATAAAATAGAGTGAATTGGAAAATGTGTTAAAGAGTCTGCTGCTAACACGCCTCAACTTTTAGAAGGACTGCAATTTCAAATCATATTAAAAGCGTAATCGATAACATAATAGTATATACACTTGTTGAGAAAACTCATAATAAAATTTTAAGTTCGAAAATATCACTTTATGTCTTTAGGACACTACTAGTATCCCGGCCTTACATGGTTTTCATGCTGCAAGTGACTGGTCATGTTCACTATTCGGCATCCCTATTTAGACAATAAAGTGTTTTAGAAGGAAAAGGGGCAGTACTGATTATAAATTATTTTCATCAGTAAAAACTTTCAAAGCCCTTGCTTTATTATATTTGTAAATAGGGGTAGGATCATCTCAGCTTATTCAATGCTGCTACAAAAGTCTGACAATATTCACTCAAGCTTTATTTAAAGTTCGTCAGCATCATCATCATATAGGCATCAGTGATGCTATTTGGGTCTAGCCGTTATAAATATTAACAGGTCATTTATTTAACAAACTACGAAGGCCTGGATGTCGTGGTTGATCTGTTTACAAAATATTAACAAACAATAGTAACAAATTCACCAGCATCAATCATGTATGACTGTTTTGATTCCCCCTTTGAAGCTATTTTGATTATAGCATTGTTATTGGCATCAATGTTAAACGTACACATTAATTTGTTAGTTTCTTCTTTTTTCAGAGAATAGCTGATGAAAGGACAACAAAGGCCACAGAACTTGAGCAGAAGGTGGCACTCCTCGAGGTACATTGTAAAAAAGTTAAATAATTTTTTTTTAATATGAAGGTTAATTATTAATATTACTATTTGAAATTTGGATCTACTGAAAAGTTTAATTGTAACCTCTGTCATCAGGTTGAATGCTCATCTTTAAATCAAGAACTGCAAGACATGGAAGCCCGTTTGCGCCGGGAACAAAAAAAATCACCAGAAGAGGCAAATCAAGTAGTTCAGGTATGCTGTGTTCATGTAAATTGAGGACACATTCACTTCTTTTTTTTTTTTGCCAAAAAGTGTCATTGTTTAGAAGCAAATATTTCTCCTATTTTGCTGTTGTTTATGATATATTGCGTAGAAGAAAACTTGAGTTCTTTTAGTATGCATTTTTTTTACTAAGTACACATTTTCAACACTTACAAGCCACATGGTTACCGATGCAAATCACATGCCTAATTGTTATGAACTCAGAATAGGTGACCGAATCAGATGTATTTCGTGGTTGAATTGTTTATTTAGTAAAGCATTGATGAATAATTTGATATTTGAGTCAAAATTCAAGTCCAAAAATTGGCGGATTTTTTTGTCAAAACATGTGGATTACATTCTAGGGACTTAGTTAATCCTGGGCACTGTGGACTTGATGAACACTAGTCAAAAGTTACAATTGCCAAGTCTGTTTCTAGCTCCAACAGGCCGTTGGCATGTTGGGCCGTTGGCATGTATCATTAGTCTTAGAATGTGTGGGTTGAACCTAACTCATCTCTACAAAAGCGGATCGTAAGGTGAGGATTGCCCCCACTTATAAACACATGTTCATGCTATATATTGTCCGATGTGAGACTCTTAACACATCCCTTCACGCCCATGTCTCGATATCTGGAGGTAAACATAAATGATGGGTGGCTCGATAGCGGAAATCTGATAGCAGGACCCAATGGATTTTGAACCGGACCCGATGTAGGACTCTTAACAATTAGTATTTAAAATTTTGAAGTAGCAATCATAAAAGTATTAGTGATAAATATTCATCATTATGGAATTATAACCTTGCAAGTTTGGTATATTTAGATACAGGCATGGCAGGAAGAAGTGGAGCGTGCTCGTCAGGGTCAGAGGGAAGCTGAAAACAAATTATCTTCTTTTGAGGTATTTTTTTAAATATTTCCTTATGAAGTTTATTGGAGATAATGATCTCGTGTCTTACAAATCATGGTTTGATTCATATTAAGCATTATATGTTTGGTTTTGCCATTTCAGGCTGAACTACAAAAATTGAAAGTTGAAATGGCTGCAATGAAGAGGGATGCTGAGCATTATTCGCGTCAGGTAATAATATTGATGTTTCTGTTTAAGTTCCCCCTCTTTCTAAATATGTAAAATTTAAATTTACAACTTGGATATATAATGTGACAAATCTCATTGTTTTTCATGTGGATGGTGCTTTGATAATTAATGACCATACTGTCGTATTACTAATGTCATCGCCAAACTTACGTTAATCCATAGATAAGGATGGGAATAGGTCAGACCGACTTACAGGGGCCTATGGCCTAGTCTATTTGAGGTCAGGCCAGACTTTTTTAATAAAAAGGAGAGACTTAGGCTTTTTTAAAAGCCTATTTAACTAAATAGGCCAGACTTAGGCTATTAAAAAAACCTATGAAGCCTTATAGGCCGGCCTATATTTTCATATATATTAAAAATAGTCTAAATAGGTTGGCCTATATATGCATATATATTAGAAAAAAAGGCTAAATAGGTTGACTTATATATGCATATATATTAGTAAAAATGTTAACTAGGTCGGCCTATATAATCATATATATGTTGACCTATAAGACTTCTTAAATAATATGAATTAATTGAAAATCTTAATGAGAAACAGACTTCTAAATAGGCTTTCAGGCCAGGCCAGACTTTTAAAAAGGCCCAATCAGGCCAAAAAAGAGATCCTATAGTAGGTCATAGGTCAGGTTCAAGTCTTGTAAATTTATCGTAGGCCAGACTCAGGCCTTATAAAGTCTAGCCTAGCCTATTTCCACCCCTATCCATAGATCATACAAGTTTATGACTTTAGGTTTATAAATCGAGTTCATTTGCTTACCAAATAATTTTTGTGTAAACTCGATTAGACCCGCAAAGAATCATTTTTGGGCTAGAGTACGACGGGATTGACCCATTCTGGATGTTTAAGATTAATAAACAAGCAAGTGGAGGGATTTGAAAGTGGGCCCAAAAATCATGGGCTAGTCGTTTGAAAAGAGCAATGCACGGCAAGAGAAATAAGGGGAGGGGAGGGAAGGGAAGGGTAGGGTGGTCACAGGGTTGGAGGCGAGAGGGAAATAACAAAAAAGTACACGTTGCTAAGTGGGCCTGGAGGAGAGGATGCTAGAATGATGCATCATGGTAGATTGGAGCATTGTGGTGGTGGATTTTATGACAACCATCATGGAAAATTTGTGAAGGATGGCGATGCCATGGCGTTTTATGGTGGCTTTAAATGGCAAATTTTGAATTGTAATGCCACTTGGTCTGGGTCTGGGATGAGATGGGATAGGATGGGTGTTGTAAGTATTTTCAACACAAGTATTTATATTATCGTTTTCCTCAGGGATTGGTGTGATATTAATGCCGTTCTATAGTTTTAGTGACTTTAAGTGTTTGAATCATAAACAAAGTTTTGGTATTTGCTTTTAGTAACAAAAGATTAAGTTTCATGCACTAGATGGTGATTTGGATAAACGAGAGGTTTTTGTTTGAAAAGGATTGTTTTGATAAAAGACACGTCAAGATTAGTTTTCATCAATCTATTTCATATATATTCGATTAATCATGCATATGAACTAATTAATGATCAATACATTCACGTATCCTCTCAATATTTCTCATGTCTAAGCAATATTGTGAGTGTTATCATGTTAATCATTAAATGATCTCTCAACCTAACTATTAACATGATAATCTTTAAAGCTTGATACAAGTGAATACTAACTCACAAATCTATGTCTAGAGCTTGTTTATTAGTAGATGAATATCTTAGGTCAAGCTTGGAACTTACTTCTCAATAATAAACCAAACCATAAAAAGAACAATGATACAAAGATATTCAACATGTATTAATCTTCAACCAAGTTTATATACAAAATGATTAAAAGAAATACATAAAGTCTAGGTTGACTACTTCTAACCTTGACACAAAAGATGCTTAGCTATTCATGGTCATGATACCTTGATCACTCAATAAACAATGAATGTTGATGAACATCAATCTTCAAGTCTCCTTGATTAAAGATGCAAGAATATTTTTCTCCTCCTCCAAAAAAGATAAAAACAAGGGTTTCTATGTTATGATGTATAGAACAAAAGGTTTCTAACCCCTTAGTCAGGTTTTCCTCCTTCCAAGTACAAAAAGTTGGTGAAAAGTTTTCCTAAAAGGTGGCAAAAGTAGCCAAAAAGTATGGCTATCTGCGCACCATCGCCGGGCGACCATAAAGCATCGCCGGCCGACGCTAGCTAGATGCCACACGTGACCACCTGGGCGTGATATACAATCAGGAAAGCATCTTTCATCGCCCGACGACAAGGATGCTTCGCTGGGCGATCCTTCTTTCGCCAGACGATCCAGGAGCGAAGCATTACAAAAGCGAACCCAAAAAAAATCATCTTTTCTTTACCACTTTCACCGGGTGACGCATCCTGTCGTCGGACGATCCTCAGCAGAATCACAACATTTGTTTCCTTACTTAGAAAGCAGAAAGTCTCTCTTTGGCCATCTTTTCTGCACAAAATTTACTGAAACACTAACAAACAAATTAAAACATTCAACATTATTTGTACTCATGCAAAATGACTTAAAATAAGTGTTTATCCTAATTAAAAGTAAAATAAAGGGTTTGAAAGTGTCAATAAATGATATGAAATTTATACAAAAATTGACACTTAACAATGAGACATTGGTTTTACTGTTGTACAAATTGTTTTGTTACTAAGAATGTTCATACTTACTATGCAAATGGTATTAAGTAATGTTTAAATACTACCATATATGTTTTTAACATTACTTTGCACTAAGTAAACTCCTATAAGTTTATGAGTTAAGTCTGAAGATCCCAAATTTACAGACCCTAGAGTTCTACAAGCTTGATTACTAGGGAAGGGACCAGAGAAATTAAGTTTCAACACACGTTTTCATATGCTGCGTCATTTTCTATTGTTTTAGTCAATTAAGTGGTATTGTCACTAATTTTGTGGGGTAATTAACAGCCAGGAAGATTTGGTAAAACCATGACTAGTTAAGGGAAGTTACTTATTAACCACCTGATGGTTCATCGATAACTATTCATAAGCTGAAAGTATCATTACAATCAAGTCTTTTTTATAATTTTTACCATGCATGAAAAATAAAACTGAACATTCGTTACTTGAACTTGGAATGGAGGGATACCTGTGATTTTGAATAGACTAAATTCCCGATACAAGGGTGCATCTTTTCTTTTTAATGGTATTTTAGAGTGCTATCATATTCTTCTAAGCATATCAACAAATTCAGGAGCATAATTTGCAACTTGGTAATCACAATCCAGATTTACAGAAATATATTTACTGTGGATTATTCAATGCTTTGGATAGTTTAACCAAGAAAAAGTAAATTGCATCTTCAAGTTTGACATGGGTATCGTGATCCATGTATATAGAAAGGGTGAGCCCAGTATTTGATATCAATCATATATTATCACTTAATCTGGGCACACTATAAGTAGGGCCGGCATAGGATTTTCACCAATAAATGAGTGTGCTAGCTAGAAAGTGAGAGCTGTGAAAAACAATTCTTCTAGCATTGTTGTATTACCGTGTGCCCCAAGCTGAGAGGATTGATGATAAGAAATCTACTTCAAATGCTACCCAGTATATCATGCTATTCTTTTGTGGGTTTTGGTATAAATACAGTTAAAGTTATGTTAGTTCTTTTTTATGTTTTGGTTTATGGTAATTTTGAAAACACTACTTGACCTAAGCATCATATTCTTGTAACAGGAGCATACGGAGTTAGAGAAACGTTATCGGGAACTGACTGATCTTTTGGTAATTTGAGATGGTTAAATTTCAGGCAAGTTTTCTGATGTCAAGTTTTCAATTCTTATGTGTTATTTTCATTGCAGTACTACAAACAAACACAATTAGAAACCATGGTCAGTGAAAAAGCTGCCATAGAGTTTCAGTTGGAGAAGGAAATTAAGCGTCTTAAGGAAGCACAGGTATGTGTTTTGGCTTCTGTGGCTACTTCATTATTAATTTTGTCTTGGCCAGGTTTTGACACCATTTTCATGTTGAACAGGCAGAGACCGAAAGAAGTAGAGTTCCTCGTCGAGCATCATCAACTTGGGAAGATGAGAGTGATATAAAAGCCCTGGAGTATGTTTTCACTAATTATTATGTTAGCACTTTTCTTCTTTTCTGTAACGCATTTGATTAAAATAATCATAATAATCTTAGCTTCAATGGTCATGTTCTCTGCCTCAATGTTCTTAACCATAAAGCCAATGCATTACTCTCTTCTAGATTTCATTTGCTTACATCCATGTATCAAATCATCTCTTATATTTTCTTCATATTCTAATTTGTTGGTTACTACATATGGTTTGATTGTGATTTTCTTATGATCTTTGTTAAACCATTTAGTTACTTTGTTGGGCTTTTTCTGTATGCTAGTCTTTTCTCTCCAAAATGTTGCACCGTTTTTTTTTTATTTTCGGTTGATAAGTTTGAAAAGTGATCTTATGAAGCGACTAATTCCAGGCCTCTTCCTTTGCATCACCGTCACTTGGCTGGTGCAAGTGTTCAGGTATGATAGCCATCATATTTATGTCATATTCTCTCTCAAATCAAACACTATTTTTAACCCTGTATTTGGCATGTCTTAATGCAGTTGCAGAAAGCAGTTAAACTGCTAGATTCAGGGGCAGTAAGAGCCACAAGATTCCTCTGGCGTTATCCAACAGCTCGAGTTTTTCTATTTTTCTATTTGGTGAGATAAGTTAGTTAGTTATTTAAATTGTATAATAGCCGACACGAACCACCATAATTTGCTAACCTTAGAGATATTGCATCAGGTGTTTGTACATCTCTTCTTGATGTATCTCATGCATCGGCTTCAGGTAAAGACAATTGAATAATAGCAATATATGACAATTTTTTTATATACATGGAGCAAATTTTGTTGACTCTAGGTATATTTTGATCCTCTACAATGTAGGTTCAAGCAGACAGTATGGCTGATAGAGAAGTTGCAGAATCTATGGGACTTACTAACCAGAGTTTACCATGAGTTATCTGAATATTTCATTTAGGACTTTTCTGACTGCATGTTTTCAAATGTACATTTTTAAAACACTGGTTTGGGTGGCTTGATAATAGTTCAGCAAATACTCAAGCATGCAGACTCGAAGAGAAACTTACAAGCGTCTAATCTCATGAGATGAATCTTAGAGAAACTGCTGCGGATTGGAGTTGGGGAAAATAGAATCCGTCAAACTGAATGATGATTAATGGGACGGCAGCATCACTTTCACAGCTAGATATTCCTGCGAATTGGATTGTTTAATCATGTTTGTTTTGTGTCCTTTTTATTTTCTACTGAAAATTGTATTGAGGAAGTGACAATATTGTAGATACAAATTTATTTTGGTATATCAATTTCTTTTGGTATTTACCACACATGAGAGAAGAAACAGTGCACTTATCAGATAACTTGTTTAGCATGGAAAACTTAGTGAACTTTTGATGATTATGTTCTCCTATAGTATTAATATACGTGCCATACCTGTTCTTCTATCCCGTTCCTTCACATAAAATTAATGTTGGGTATTTAACATTTGTCTAAAAAAAAGTTATAAAAAAATTATAGATGCAATTTTGTAAAATTGCATGAGTGTTGTGGACTAAAAAAACACAATCTAACATAAATAACTCCCACTCACATTCACTTCACATTCACATTCCTTCATTGCATGTTGATTATATACATGGTATCATTAACAGGAAACAGAACAGGAAGCAAATGTTTTAGTCCAGAAGTGTGCTTCCGGTTTAATTTTTGGATTTTTTTCAGCTTGGTTTTGACCTGTTTATAAGATTTGATGAGACCTGTTTATAAGATTTGATGAGATGTGTACATTTTTTATGCGTCAGAAAGCGCATGTTTAAAATTTAAAAATATTATTAGTTTTTCACCTAAGTGTAAGATTCAATACCCATTAAAAATGATTCATATTAACTGAAGCTACGTCCTTTAAATTATAATAATTTCCGATATGCTTTTAACAAATTGTTATAGTGAGTCTTAAATTTTGTTTGAGAATTTGGAGTGAAAGGGAGGGAGGAGAGGTATTTGAGGATAAAGAAAGGCGTACGGTGAAAGAACGAGCGAGTAGTTCCTCCACCTTGCATGAGATTTGACTTTTTCTTTTCCTTCTTTTTATTGAATTAAGTGTTCATGGAGGAGAATTTCAAAATATCTCTTATAAAGAGTAAAATCTAGCAGCAATCTAGTCATCATATATTGTGAGAATTAACATATAACTTAGTCCTTTAAAAAAACGATATTCAACCTTATGTTGTACATACTCATCCTCCATTTGTACAAGATCATCTTGTTGTATTTGTAACTAAATGTTGCAGTACAAGGTTAAAGATGAAGAAGAAAATAAAAAAAAGAGAGAAAAGAGAAGAAAAAGTAATAAATTCTCGATAGTGAAAAAATTCATTTATGATTTTACTGTAACAAATTTATTTAAATACACTAAGTAAATTGTCACGTAGGAACAATTGAAAATATGTTTAACAACTAAGCTAACAACTAAGAATAGCTTCCAAAAAAATATCTAACTATTTCTTTTGACTAATAGCCTCAGAAGCTACTGCTTCTGACTAACAGATTCAAAAGCTACTACTTCTGACTAACAGATTCAGAAGCTTCTGACTCTAACAACAACTTCTGAGTAAACAAAACTTCCGACTAACAACAACTTCTGAATATAAATTACTTCTAACACCATCCCTTAATTCATATTCAGCTAATTAAACTCTACAACACCAATTTCATCCCTCAATCTTGACAACTTTAGTTAGAATTTCTGCAAGTTACTTCTGAGTGCTACAATGTGTAACTTCTAGCACTCCATTTTGAACTTGATTGCACATAAAATGGAACTTCGTGTTAATGTGCTTGCTCCTTCTATGCAGTACATGATTCTTGGCAAGACTTATAGCTCATTTATTGTCAATCATCAACCTCACGGGTTTGCTCACCTTGAGCTTCAGATCGTGCAACAAAGCACCTACAAAGCACCTGCAATATACTCAACTTCACAAGTTGACAAGGAAACCACAAATTGCTTCTTGGAGCACCAAGAAATGAGACTTCTCTGATACTTGAAGAAATATGCAAAAGTACTTCTTTTGTCAACTTTGTCTCTACACCAATCAAAATATGAATAACATATCAACTTTGAGTTCGATTTAACACCAAAAGAGAACAACACTCAATGACTAAGAGTTCCTTTAATGTACCTCAGTATCCTAACAACAACTTGGTAATGTAACCACTTTGGCTTGTTCATAAAGCTACTCACCATTCCAACTGCATAAAAAATGTTAGGTCTGGTGTTATAAAGATATCTCAATGATCCAACCAACTGTTTAAAAACTATAACATCTACATCATTACCCTCAACACCAGAATCTAATTTGTAATTCATCTCAGCAGGTGTGATTGTAGTCTTATAATTTGTTAACTCAAATCTCTTCAGAAGTTCAAGTTCATACTTGAGCTGATGCAAAATTATACCCTTCTCAGATTACAAAATCTCCATCCCTAGAAAATATATCATATTTTCCAGATCAATCATCTCAAACTTATTCATCAGCACCTTCTTGAACTTGACTATCTCTTATAGACAACTCCCTGTTAATAATATGTCATAAATATAGAGACACATCAGAATCATATTACTTTCAGAAGTATCTTGAACATAAATGTCATACTCCATTTCACACTTTCTGAATGCCTGCAACTTAAAAAATGAACCAATCTTCATATTTCAAGCTCTAGGAGCTTGTTTCAGCCCATACAATGCTTTATGTAACTTGTACACCACCCCTTTCTTGTTCTTCTTCATAAATCCAGGAGGTTGTGACAGATATACCTCTTATTATAATGGGTCGTTAAGAAATGCATATTTCTCATTCAAATGTATCAAAGGCCAATTTCTATTAGCAACTATAGCAATCACCAATCTAATTGTTTCATGCCTAGCTACAAACGCAAACACTTCAAAGTAATATAGTCAAGATTTCTATAAAAATCCTTTAGCTACTAACCTTGCTTTGTGTTTTCCAATTGATCCATCTGACTTTAGATTTATCTTGAAAACCCATCTGACACTAATGGCTTTCTTCTCCTTTGGAAACTCAATCAACTCCCAAGTCTTATTTCTTTTTATAGCCTTAAGTTCTTCCTTCATGACCTTCAACCACACTTTCTTCTTGAGATATTCTTTTGTACTAACTGGTTCAGCGTCTACTAACATGGCACACTGAATGACTTCTCCTTCAGAGTATATCTCATTATCTTGCAACATGTCAAAGTTTGTAAATCTTCTTAATATTTGTCTGATTCTCCGTGGCCTATGAACTTGTTCAAAATCATCTTCAGATGCTAGAACAATATCAGATGCTGGACCACCTTTAGAGGCCAGACCACCTCCAGAAACTACATCTTCATAAGCATAACCTCCGTTAGAGGTTGGATTACCACCAGAGTCTGGATCATCATCAGAATCAGGATCAGAATCAGATCATCTTCAGAGTCACTTTCTGATTTTGACTCATCTTTAGAATCTCCTCAGAATCAGACTCGACTTCAGCTTCAGAGTCATCTTCTGACTCTAACTCATCTTCAGAGGCAGAATTCCATTCAGATTCAAAAGTATATTCAGAAGTTAACTCAGGTGTTAACACTACACCAGAGTTGGATTGAGACTTGTCCAATCCCATGAATCTGACTCTTTCATAATAACGTCTCTGTTGACTTTAAATTTATTAGTGACTGTACAATAAAGCTTATACGCACCTGTACTGTGGTACCTAATCAACAATATTACTTTTCTTCTATCATCCAACTTCTTTGTAGTAGTACCTGGAACATGTTTGTAACAAAACAAACCAAATACCTTAAAATTACTCACACTTTGCTTATCTCCAGTCCACTTCTCAAAAAAAATATTTTCCTTCAGCTTCTTTGTAGAACACCTGTTGAGCATATATACTGCAATGGAAATAACTTCACCCCATAATGTGTGAGAGAGATTTTTCTCTTTCAACATGCTCCTTGTCATATCAAGTAAAGTTCTATTTATTCTTTCAACAAGATCATTGTGACGAGGAGTGTATAGATCAGTCACCTCATGATCAATTCCATTTTCCTCATAGAACTTCTTGAACTATGTAAAGTTGTATTTACCTCCACTGTCAGTTCTGAGAACTTCCAGCTTTTAACCACTATGTTTTTCAACCTTCACCTTGAACTTCTGTAACTTAGCAAACACTTCATGCTTAAACTTAATGAGGGCTTCCCATGTTATCCTTGTGAACTCATCCACAAACGACACAAAGTACTTGTTTCCTCCAAGTGAAGGTACTTCAAATGGTCCACATATATCAGAATACACTATTCCCAAAGCATGATTTTAATTTGGGGCTACTTCGGAAACAAATGGAAATCTGGGATGCTTGCCTTTCATGCATATGTCACATGACTTCTTAAGCTTCACAATCTTAGGAATGCCATGTACTGACTTCTTAGAACTCAGATGCCCTAAGCTTCTAAAGTTAAGATGCCCCACTATCTTGTGCCATAACTCACTGTCACCTTCAGCGTCTTCTTCACTAAGGCATTTAGTTTCAACTGTCTCCACATTCACCTTGAATATTCTGTTGCTTCTCTATTCAGATTGCATAATTAGCTTCTGATCAAAATCATACAACTTCAAGAGATTGTTCTTCATGGTAAGTGAGAAACCAAAACCTTTTTCAATGAGCTAACCTACACTCATCAGATTGCTCTTCATGCCAGGAACATACCAAATATCCTTGATCATGACAATTTTACCATTCTTCACTTTGACTTTGGCTTTTCCCATTGAAACACCCCAAATTCTAGATTAATTATTATTTAATTAATTTAGCATGAATATATGAGTCATCGTGAAGTGTTTGATATGTATGATGTATTGGTGCTTTGTGTGAGTCCTTGTGACGATTTATGAT